TTGAACCGTGGTCCCTGTGCTTTGCTAAGCTTGTTCCAAGTAGGCGCTTTAGACCACTGAGCTATCTCACCAGCCCCTCAATATGTTTTGATATATGATATTTTGAGCTGAAAACATTAATGGAAAGAGTGGAACCTCTATCATATTTGTAGACACCGATCACGATACCTACACGCAAGTGTGTGTCACCTAACATGGTACGTTATGAAGCCCTGTGAGCCAGAGAAGCCAGTCTGTCGATGAGCTCTGTCTCATTTTTGGGGATGTCAACTTGTCTTAGGTGTTTAGTCTCTGTTCAGACTTAGTTGTGGAGGTTCCCTGTTCTCGTGTCTGTCTCCTTGCCCGTGTTACCTTTCGATTTCAGTCTGACTTTCCCCATGGCTTCTGATCTTGTCCCTACTGTTCTTATCGTTCTTCCATTTCTCGATCTAACTCTTGTTTTTATTCTTTCACTGAGAATATGTTCCTTCATACTGAGGAGTTTATTATGAGAAGGCTTACGTATATCTCCCAGGCCCTAGTTTTTCATTTATAAAAAATACAGAACTTTTAAGAACAGATTGCTGAGTTTTGCATTATGCATGTTTGATGGTGCTATATCAAGGGGTATAAATTAACTTTAATTTTTAGTTTTGAAAGTCCTTAGAAGTTGGAGGAAAGATAGTTCTGCTTCCTAATTATTTTTTTCATGAGCTGTTACGCATATCCACCAGTTTATATTGGCTGAAGCAGGCCAGTGCAAAACAGCCGTGTCCAGGATACTCAACAGGAAAAAACTGTGTTAACTGAATCTTTAACTGTTAGCTACGTCGTGAGTAGCACGCCGAGGTTAGTAAGTTCCTGGGAAGTCAGCTCATTAGTGTCCCGCTAGGTCTCCGAAGGTTTCAACTTCACATAAGCTAAAAATGTTGTTTACATGCCCTTCTTCAGTGCTGTTTTTCTTAGTATCAGTTATAATCAAGTAGAAAGGACTTGGTTGATGTTATTTACTAATAAAGCAGTTTTCATGTGAGCAAAGACTAGGTAATCAAGGAGTTTCCAATTTAAGAGAAATTAGATCAAGTAATTCTTTGCTTTTTTCTTTTCTGTGTTTTAGAGCTATTTTCACTTCTGATTTTACCAAAATACTAATTAAAGAATGTAAGTTTTAAAAACATATCTCACAGTAGGGGCCAGGGAGATGGCTCAGTGGAATAAGTGCTTCCCTGGAAAGCACAAGGGCCTGAATTCAATCCCCGGTTCTGCAAAAAAAAAAAAAAAAAAAAAAATAAAAAAAAAAATTTTTCACATGTAAGCTTGTAATTTAGGGCCCTTCAGTCCCTCTTTTTTTTTTTTTTAATGTGATATTAGGGATTGAAACCAGGGCCTTTGTGCTGAGCTAGCCCTCCAGCCCTTTTTAATTTTTATTTGAAGCGGGACCTTACTAGATTGCCCAAGCTGCAAGCGACACTCCAGCTGTGAGCCCCGGCCTCCGCCTCCAGAGCGCGGGCTGCTCCTGCAACTCTGCTGCAGCAGGCTTGCTTGGATTTGTGTTTTATCTTTAAAAGTTAGGGATTGTAAAACTTGCTAATCGTTTTCTTTGTTATTTGAAATACTCTAAAGAAATTGAGTGTAAGTATTTTCTGACAGAATTTTTTTGTTACAGAAAAATTTCTTGTAACTCTCAACTAGCTTTCTGAAGAATGATTGTGAAAACTGTACAAATGGAAACATCTGTACGTAGTAAAGGTTGAGTTGTATGTAGTATAACAGTTCATGGAAGTTACATGGTAGCAGATAATTACAGTATAATTTCTTAGTATATACTAAGATTCAATTGGGCTTAGTCCTAGTTGGGCTTTAAATTAGAAATATTTTTGAATTTAAGTTTAAATCTGTTCCACCTCTGAAAAGAATTATGGTTAACCTTTTTTGTCAGGGAATGATACAAACATTTGTTCTAAATTGGGTGCCTTGCTTGTTACTCATTAGCTGTTTCTTTTCATATACGGTAGTCAATGATTCTGAAGAATTTTACAAGTTTACAAAGGCATAGTTGAAGTTTAAAAGACGTTAAATAACTTTTCATAGTGACTGGGGAGATACCTCAGCAGTCTAAGCGCTGCTGGGCAAGTGTCAAGGATCCAGGTTCGATCCCGGGTACCACATGCCATGCTGTCACTGGAACCCCGGGTACGCTGAGCTGGCCACGGAGACCGGACATGGTGGCACATGCCTTTAGTCCTAGTGCTGGGGAGGCTCAGGCAGGAGGATCACTACAAGTCCAAGCTGCATAATGATTCCCAGTACCAAATAAATAAAAGATCAAAAGAAAATGAAAAAGAATTTTTGTGTAGTAAATTTTACTTATTAAAGAACTAAATTAGGGCTGAGGAGATGGCTCAGTGGAATAAGCGCTTCCCTGGCAAGCGCAAGGACCTGAGTTCAATCCCCGGTTCCGGAAAAAAAAAAAACAAAAACAACTAAATTAAAGATTTCTAGTGGCTTTCCAGGCAAGTGTCACTATTAAATGTTAGTAGTATAGCTGGGTTCTTGGTTAGACAGGCACAGATCTGGTTCTACCAATTTAACATTTGCGTATTAAAAATTCAACACATTTTATGTTCATATTAAAAAAAACCCTCAAATTCCTTCTTTTACACATTAAGTTTGAACACATTATATATAATTTGGGTAACAAAACTCAAGGTTGATTAACGGATGTATCAGGAGAAGTGGAATCCTCAGAAAAATCTAGTCCCAAATGGTAATAACCTGAATCGCCATCAGAGGGCTCTGTGGGCTCATGGATTGGTAGGTCCATTTTCTGGACTAGGGCTTTGACTCTGACACTGTTTTCACCCCCAATGACTAAGTTTTGTATTCTTTTTAAGGCAGGGATGAATGGTTACAATTTTTTAAATCAGTTAAGAGCATGGTACTACGAATATTTCATTTTAAATAGACCAGAAGACATTCTTTTTTATTTTCTTCGCCGCCAGGAGTATTTTTACACATACTGGCGGATACACTGGGAAGTGTTGGTGTCATCGCCTCCGCCATCATGATGCAGAATTTTGGGCTGATGATCGCAGATCCCATCTGTTCTATCCTTATAGCCATACTTATAGTTGTAAGGTAAGTGTTATGTTACTTTCAAGTAGTTAATGAGTGATAAGTATGCAACTCAGATAGATCTCGGGCTGAGGGTCTCTTGCTCTGCAGCATAAGGGCCTGCCTGGCAAGCACAAGGTCCTGAGTTTGAGTCCCAGTACCAAAAGAAAAAAACAGAAAAAAAATAAATTATAGATCTAAAGTACAAAGTATGATGTTGGTTTCTTTTGGTCTTTAAGAAACTCCTGCACCATAAATTCTCTTTAATATTTATTTGTCCTTTTGTATGTGCATGTTTCTCATTTATTTCTTACCTGGAGTTTGACCTCTCATTCTGGTATTTGGCAATTAAACTTCTGACCATAATTCAAGTCAGTGATCATTTTCTTAAATCTATCGCTGGAGCTGTAGAGTGTCATATCCAAACGTCAGCTGTGTACCTACAGTTAGAATGTGCTAGCTAGCCTTTGCATCTGTGTACTTATAGATGCCTGTGTCTCACGCTGTGACACGCGAAGAAGTACCAGGCTCCGCTACTGAAACTTGTTAATTGTGAAGTCATGTTATCAATGCGGGAGTGATGTAAAATGCTTACTGCAGTAAATTTAAGTCTGTATCCCTGTCGAACTCTGGAAGAGACGTCCATCATAGTTCTTAACCTCCTTTATGGCCTGCCAGTGCTGGCGGATGCACCAAGGTAGCTGTGTGGAGGTGCACAGCTTCTCAGGGAGCGCTTGCCGAGTTAGGCCGGGGGGGGGGGGGTGTCACCCGTGAGTCTCTTGCCCACTGTGCTGCCTCATGAGCCTTTTAAGAGTCTTTTTGAGACAGAGCCTCCCTAAGTTATCTGAATTGGGCCTGAACTCACAGTCCTACTTTCACATCACAGAATGCTGCAGTTATAGGTGTGTACCACCACATCTGGCTTTTTAGTTTATAATGTCTGAATTATTTGAGCAAGGAAACAATTTTGATATAAAGGTCTTTGTAAAGCTTAGAATGTCCTCCTTCATCTTTGGAAATCTTAGTACACTTCCAGTAGTGACACTAAACTTATTTCCAGTAAGTTCATTTTACTTGTGATTTATACTATAAAGCCTAACTCTTGATAGATTTGCTAACTTCTAAGTCTTTAACCTTATCACTCCTTTCACTTCATTTTATTAGGAATTACAGTTCTTAGTTGCTTCTAATATTTCTTTCTGGTCCTTTTGTCTCCCCTGATGTTACCCCTTCTCGGGTTCATGTGTCCTGCTTGAGAAACTGACAGTCTCCAGGTCGACTCCTCTCTAAACTTTTCACACGGGCTAAAGTTACTTTTCTCTAATGAGAGTCTTGTGGTAGATGAGCCCGTCTCTGATTCTCAGCCTGAGGTTAAAGCCCAAGCGCCCTGAACTCGGCTCCGTCTGCTTTCCAGCCAGCGTTCTGCTCCTGACTGGCTCGTTTATCCTCTCCACAGCACTCCTCAGCACCTCCTGCCTTCCCCTCCCCACCCTGCACTCTCCGCTTGCAGCCCGCCCGCTTGCAGCCCGCCCTCTTCGGGAGCCACCTGGGGACACTTCCCCTCCTGGGATCAGCGCGTGCATCACCGTGGCCCTCTGCCGCAGCGCCCTCTCATGGTGTTTCCTAAGTATGCGCGCATGAGCTGTATTCTGTCTCATTCAAACCCTGGGGACATGAGCAGTTTTACTGATTGCCTGGTTCTGCCTAAAAAGAAGTTGGGATACTTTGAATTGAATCAAGAGAAAATTGTGCTTTTTTCAGCCTTAGGGAATTACTTCTCCAATCCCAAAAAGGGAATTCTTAGCAATTCTTGTCACATTCGTTTATTCCACAAATACAAATGCACAAACACAGCAGAGAAAGCCTTTTCCCTGAAATATCACACAATGAACAGATAAACCATTCACGCGTCAGCTACTTGTGTCGTACACGTTAGTGATGTCAGCTGAGTGGTTTTTAGGGTTCGTTCTAAAGGAAGAAGCGGGATCTTCGAGCTGAGGTCTGCAGGCCCAGAGAGCGTGTTAGAGGCAGTGCTTTCTCGTTTAGGGAGACCTGGTGGGACAAAAGCCCTGTGCCGGGACAGCGATGGCACCAGAACAAGGCCAGGCTGGCTGGAACACGGGATTAAGGAGCGTGGTGTGAGGTAAAGTGGGAGCAGTGGCTGCGGCAAGTTGTGCTTTGCAGTTTGGATTTGCATTCAAGTGCAGTGGAAAGTTTAAAGAAGTGACTGTGTTTGAGTTATATTTTTCAAAGAAATTGTGACTGACGTATAGCTAGTAGGTTGTAAGAAGCCAGAGGTGTAAACAGGCAGATGAACTAGAAAGCCGTTATGGTGTGCCAGGCAGGAGGCCACAGGAGATGGAGTGGCATGTTGACACTAGCACATGCTTTGGGGGCAGAGCCGGCAGGATCTCTTGTGGACTGGCCTGTCGGAGTCAGTGTTGGGCGGAGAGGGAGAATCAGTGATGATCTGCAGAGTTTATGCGGGCAGCCACGTGAGTGGGGAAGTCACTGTTGAAAGAGAAGACTGCAAAAGAGTGACGTTTTTGGTAGCAAGTTTTTGAGGGAGTCTCCGGATCAGAAGTTCTGCTTTGGTTATCATAACTTTGAGATCTCTCAACAGATGTTTATATGGAGATTTCAAGTGGATAGTGAGGGTATCAATACGAAATTCTTGGTGCAGTCAAGTAAGGATACGGTATCCAAAGTAGACCATGTTCAGATTCATGGTCGTGAGTGGCATTTGTCTGGCTTTACTGGCACCTTCCCCAGTCCTTCTTTTTCTCTGGAAAATACCCCTTAGTGTGGTCCTTGTCACATGACTAGCTCCAGAGACCCTTTTAATGTAATGTTTCAAACAGCCATAAGCAGCCAGGTACACTTCGCTTTGGAGATAAAACTTATTTCTAATCTTTGTTAGGTCCTACTGACTTACAGAAGTTTTTTTCTCACATGTATACCTAGTTCTGGTTATATAATTTGATTTCATTATCGTGGATTCCTTTTTATTACTATTAAACTAATATTTGTATTGGATGCAAATGTTCTTTTTACCAAAGTAATCAATGAATTGTAAAAAGCTCATAACTGATATGTATGATTTAGCTATTTAAATGTTCTTAATTCTGTCTTTGGAGCTGAGAGCATGCCTACTCTGTGTCAGGGAATACCAACATGAGCAGACAGGTAAAAGCCCTACCCTCGTGGAGCCTGCATTCTGAGAGAAGTTCATAAAAGAAGTGAACATGCAGGTAGATAACGTAATTAGGGATACATGCTATGAAGCACATTGCCGCAGCCACTGCTCCCACTTTACCTCACACCACGCTCCTTAATCCCATGTTCCAGCCAGCCTGGCCTTGTTCTGGTGCCATCGCTGTCCCGGCACAGGGCTTTTGTCCCACCAGGTCTCCCTAAACGAGAAAGCACTGCCTCTAACACGCTCTCTGGGCCTGCAGACCTCAGCTCGAAGATCCCGCTTCTTCCTTTAGAACGAACCCTAAAAACCACTCAGCTGATATCACTAACGTGTACGACACAAGTAGCTGACGCGTGAATGGTTTATCTGTTCATTTGTTTTGCTCTTTCCCACTATAATGTAAAATCTGAACAGCAATGATCTTGGATTTTTTTCAACACCAGGCTAAGAAGGCCTAAAAGTTGAGTATTTGCTGAAGACAACATGCTACTTCATTCACATCATAAGGTGACATGAAGTACACAAGTGACATGGAGCAGAAGTCTATCTGATGGGAAGGGTGCAGTGGGCTTTGGCAGGAAGGGCGTCCCGGCCCCTGGTCCCTGGCCAGGCACCTGTGCTGATCAGTTGTGTGTAGGCGGGGCAGACACCCCTGACCTGTGGCTGCGGTAAAGGGATGTCTAGTTCAGGGCACAGGCTGGGAGGAAGGTATGACATCGCTGTCATCGTCTTGTGTGTGGTCCTCCAACCCTGGGCATGGAGAAGGAGGCTGAGGCTGCACCCTATGTGCAGGGGCAAGGTTGGAAGACCTGAGAGGCCAAAATTTCACTTTAACAGTTGCAGGGCATGATCTTCCCTATCAGATGTCCCGGGGAGGGGATTGTAGCTTAGCTAGCCACTCTGAGAACCTCGGAAAGGAGAGGAGAGGAAAAGGACAGCGCAGGGCGGTGGCTCCCAAGCCCTTGCCCTGAAAAGGTGTGACTGCCTGCCGCGTTGAGGTTTGTGGTCATGAATCTAAGGTGAAAACAAGCAGCACAGTTGTATGTTTTTCTCCAGTTGGTGGTATTTAGTTCTCAGTAACAGTTAAGGATTTGATAGAGTTGGATTAGTAGGTTGGAGTGTGGTGGGCAAGTGCTGACAATGAGAAAGGGGCAAGGCAGAGGGAAATTCAGTTAGGGTGACAAATGATGCTCCATGCTTTAAGAAGTGAGAGGTCCAGGGGCTGGAGGACTGGGGAAGTGATCCAGAAGCAGGGAGGGCAGTCAGACTGCGAAGGGCTTACGGCTGGGACTTGAGGGCCTGGGCGCCCTTATGGCGGTGAAGCATTGAGACATCCCGTGGAGGCTGAAGGATGGGCGAATTGCCGGTGTGGATACTTAGATCAGGAATAATGAAAGGAATAGAGGTAGCAAAATGATAAACCCCTGCTGAACTCTTCTGTGGCTGCAGGGAAGGAGAAAGAGTTGGCGTCTGGTCACAGGAGTGAAGCTGGGACAGTCTGCCCTGCGCAGGGAGGGCCTTCGAGCGCAGCCCTGACCCTGCGGGGCTGGGAAAGCGGCACTGGCGAGGCCGTGGGCGGGCAGCGCTGGGCGCCGCAGAGGACCTGCGCCGCGCTTCTGGGCTTTTTCTGTGGCGGTCTGAACCTGAGAGCAGAGCTTGTAACCAGAGCCAGCATTTCTGTGAGGGAGCAAAGATTTTTCAGAAATAAATGTACCTGTAGGGCACTGAAGATAAAACCACTACCTTTTAGAGGCAGACTGCATAGGTACTAGAAATGAAAGGTGACAGTCATACAGGTGTGATAGTGAAATGTATGCTAATGAAA